TCATTGTAAAATCAATACACTCATTGTTTCACTCAGAATCTAAAATATAGGTAATAAAAATAATATAAATAAATAACTATAAATAATTTTTGAAAAATTAAGAACAATATTTTATACTACTATATTAATACACATTTCATGTTGGTATAATTCTGTAAAAATTAAATCCCTGAAATAAAATATTACGTTTTCAAAACTTCAAATATTACTTATGATTGTTGTGTGAGGTGTAGTGTACACAAATATATAAAGTACACAAATATTTTGAGTGATCGATACGTCAAAGAATACAGTTCAAAACATAGTAGGTATATAAACATATTATAAAAAATTTAAAATATAGGTGGTAAATGGTAATATCAATAATAATAATAACTATAATCATAATAAAATAATTATCAAACAATAATTTATTGAATGATGTTCTATTTTTATCGATTATAAAATATTTATAAATTACGTATGTTTAAAATAGATATCGTCACTTAGAGCGTGAACACACTGTCCGGTTACAGCCGGAGCGGTTATATGTATTCCGGTTAATTTCCTGTTTTTTTTTTTCATCAATTACTTCCTCAATACTTTAATAGGAACATATTATATTTGATAAGTATGTCCTTTGTCCGTGGTTTATAAAAAATTCATAATATTAATTTTGTCCAATTATGAATTAATACTTAACAATTTTAATACGTAAGTTTTGAAAATTGAACAAGAGGTTACTCAATACTAATGTTGTTTTTACCACCTTTAAAAAATTGGAAATCCACATATTTTTTTCTATATATTTGAGACTGACAAGAGGACATCTGACTGAGTCCTATATTACCACCAATATGTTAATATTAAATAATATTATGTAGTACAAGGGTGTCCGACTCTGTATAGTGGAATAGTGGATTGTATAATTAGGAGGCGGAGGAGACATTTGAAATTCATATCAAATTGTATAATATTATATACGAAAAGAAACGATTTTTGTTATTTTGTTGAAATTCCAAAATTATTATTGGTATCTATATAATATATATATGAATAACAGCGAATTGAAACTTTTCACCGTTCATAATACGTTATAGGTATTTAACTATATAAATATAAATAATATATTATTATTTATTATTAGGGTATATACTATATAGGTATTTTACAATGAAATTTCCCAATTTCACTCAATGACCCAGACCATTGAACTGTATGATAGTATACAGTTCAGTGACCCAGACGAAAGATTGACATTTTTATCGCTATGATTACCTATATTTTGATATTATTTCAGTTTAGATACCAAGTTACTTACCGGCGCTTGGCACATTTGATGACAATAATTTTATCTTAGTGTTGACTGTTTATCGTTTAATCGGCTTTTAGTTTTTACCCGTGGTCATTTGCAGCTAAATATTATGTTGAAACTTAACGTGTAGATATATTATAGATTGCAATATCGCGTACATTTGAGCATAATGCACAATCAGTGCCGCAACTACTGGGTGTGCAAGGTGTGCAAGGTGTGCAATGCACACGGGCCTCTAGGCTCCAGCTCTAAGGGGCCTCTGAAACCAAAATCTAAAATTGAAAATTGTCTATTTAAATATTTTTTTTGCTTTATTATATAAACAAATATATATTAACAAAGAACAAAGAGTATATAGAGGATTTATTAATATATATAGTAGTATACGTCATAATATATAGACTTCGTATACATAATATAGTATATTATATATAATACATATATACATGTATTAAATCTATTACATTTATTTAATTTAGAATTTAATTATATAATTTAAATTACATAGGTAGTAATTTTTATATTTATTACAATTATTAATTTTTTGATTTTCTTTTAATTAGTTTTTATGAGAGTAGCTTTTTTTACTTTATAAGAACGTAAAGTTTTAGGTTATATTCAATTACGTAAAGGTCCTAATAAGTTTTTTACTAAAGGTATCTTGTTCGATTGAAAGTGAATATCGTTTTTGCATTGGGGAGGTCAAAATTTAAAATTCCCAGTAATTTTCAAAAGTGCTAAGAAAAACAAAAGAAAAATTAAGGAAAAACGGGAATTTTTACGCAAAATCAAATTTGGTTTTTGGAGTAACTTTAAATATAGGTACATAAAATTTTCACTGGTTGCTTATATTTGCATTTTCTATACACGCTAAAATCTTCGAAGTATTATGATTTGTTTTGAACTGTTAAGTTATATTTTAATTTTCTATTTTTTTTTCAGTTTTTTTTCTAAAAATATCAATAAAGTTTAATCTGTTGGGCCAAAAAGTGTAAAAATTTAATACAAGGCTCCTGATATATTGTTACAATATGAGTTGAAAAATATTAAAAATACATAGGCACAGTTTTATTTTATAAGCATTTAAAGATCGAATTTTGACAAAACTTATCAAAATCTCGAAAATTATCAATCATTGTAATTAATAAATTATAAAATGTTCAGTTTTTATAGCTAAGGATTGCAAATTTAAAACAAAGGTTCTCATAAATAGTTCATACTGTAACCAAAAAATCTAAAAAATATATGAACACAGTTATTTTTTACAGACATTTTAAATTCAAATTTGCATAATAAAAAACCCAGAATAACTATTTTAGTTATTTTGTTGTGATTGTATAATATCATTTGTGGGTGCTTGAAACTTCTAAAGTACACTATTATTATATATCTATGATAGTATCAGGGTTTGTTGTTGATGTATAACGCGTTATAAGTACCTAATGAATATTTTGATATGATTAATTTGGAATTTATTATAGGTATACCTATTATAGGACAATTTTTTTTAATACCATAGATAAGTATATAATATGTCTGATACCTAGACTAACATACCGTCTCCGCTCAGAATCGTTTTTCTTGTACAATGATATTAAATTATTTAATTCAAATTTAATACCATCCATTATACAGTGACCCACTTGTAACCTACTGTACAGCAGAGCACCTTATTTTAGTTTAAAATATAAATTTAAAAAACAATTTTTTCAAATATAATGCATTACCTGTATAAATTAATTTTTAAGTTGGTGGGTAGGTAACTAACTTGAATTATTGCTGATGAATGAACAATGAAATTAAACAACTGTCAACTGATAATTTGATAAAATGTATCAAATAGGTAGACAATAAGTAGGTAGTTAGTGCCCAGCTTTGTCCAATTTATTAATTTAGAGATAACATTATTAAAATTGGTTTTGGTATAAAGTTTCATATTAATAATATAATAACTACCTTTATTATTTATTTAATCATATGGTTATAACTTCTTCACTTTCTTGTCTAATTAGTATGATTTACATATAACATCATAAATAATTGCATACAACACGAAAAAAGTAAGTACTGATTAATATTGCTGTAGTAATACAAAAATCAAGTAAAAAATTATAATATTAATTTGGTGCCTCCAAACAAATGTTGCACACGGGCCTCGGAGTTAATAGTTGCGGCACTGTACACAGTCAAATATTCTATTTCAATGCGATATATTCTTTGTATTGTTATAGGTTAAACAATTAAACCTGAACATTCTTAAACCCTGCAAGTGTTTCAAACTTATGTTTGTGGTGGGTTGAGTGCAATAATAATTAATATTAATTATAGTGAAGAAAGACGAAATAATTAGAATTATTGCGTCTTTTGGGTGCTCGTTCGTTATCGTAAATAATAATTGTCGGTACCTAAATTATTTCTCCGTGTTCAAAAAATAATATTGGAACCCCGAATCTCATACGTATAGGTGTGAGACGTAGGTGTCAATGACCTTCGATATATTTTAGTTTTTAGTGATGGTGGGCTGTCCCAGGCAGCGGAGTGTTGTCGTGTTGAAGTTGTTATTTTGGGGAGATCACCAATATTTTATATAAGGGCGGTGATAAAATGGCCAACGCAACAGAATATGCAATGTTTGTGATTTTTGAAAAAATATTGTGAATTTGACGATTAAGATTATTATTTTTATTGAATTGTATTATTTTACACCTTTTTTTTCAATTACTTTACGTTTCCATAGTGTGGGACATTGTTGTCTGGGACTTATTTCCTGGAACTTTTTATCTGCGAATTGTCATTAAAAAAAGCCCCGCTATTAAAATGGCTGGAAACAAAAGCACAGCTTATAGGAACAAAAAGTCCTGTTACCAACTAAATTATATGATTTATACGAAATATTTGAAACCCAGGTACCATTTTGTACGCTGAACTACATAATGTATGTAAGAGGATTTCAAGGTACTTTATTGTTCTCGGCCCACAACATAGACAAAACTCATTTAGCAGAAGCATTGTGTCTAGGTTTTTGAAGGAATCTGAGAGTAAAATCATCCATCACAAAAAAGATAGAGAATAATACAGAATATAGTAAATGTTAGTATAATATAGTGAACATACTATGGTGAATAAATACGGCTAGTATACGATGTATGATTAATATTATCTACCTGTTATATCTGATATTTTGTGTTGACCAATGAGCGTCCGACGGGTCAGGTGTAGTGATGTACTATACCACCATTTTCCTTGTATACCTAAAACAGAAGAGTGGAGAGGGATCAAGTCAAAGTCTATAAAAGGGCGTGCTTCAAATATTTAAACGCCTTTAGTCTTTAACCAGTCTAAACTTCAAAGTTTTAGAGAATAACTACCAGCTAATAGCTATACCTATACCTGTTTAAACCTATACTGCAGCGACGTCATAAAAGTATGTACTTAAACTTAATTTACATAACTAATATTTTTACACATTTTTATATTATTCTGTACGACTGTACGTCAACAAATATAAATATTTAATAAATTCAAATTCTTGACTTAGGATTCAAATAATTTATTAATTTTTGAATTATTATAAAGATCATTAAATATATATAAATTCAACTCTGACGATGCAGTTGATATCGTAATTTGTTATATACCTACCTACCTAATTAACTTATGTAAAATGTTATTAATTATCATACAATATGTTACTTAATATTTTAGAATGGCAAAATTAGTTTTATCTGAAAACAGTTTGTTTGGAGAGATTGAGCAGAGGGCTCAATGCGCCCATAGTAACGAAAAGTTGGCCACGGCGCATTGCGTTTCCGAGGACTTCCAAATGGGAAAAGCATTTGCCGTTAACTTCAAGTGATTTCACTTATACTTTATACTTTATTACTTATATCATTCGTAACTTTATTTACCCAAACAGTCAAATTAATGATTTAATTATATATTTCAATTTGCAGGCTGAAGTACGGATCCCTCGGAGCCCTGATGGACCAAAAGGTCAGAGTCGGTGGTGTGGCGGAATTAAACCCTAGTGATGAGGGACAACAATTTTATGTGTTTTACCTCGTCACAAAGGCTTTATTTCACCATAAACCGACTCTCCAATCACTGGCTGAGTCATTACTCCAGTTACGGGATCGATTATTGGATTTAAGTATAAATCAATTAATCATCCCAAAACTGGGGTGTAACTTGGATCGGCTAAATTGGTATCAGGTGCGTGGCCTACTTTTCGATACCTTTGAGAGCTGTGGTATGATGACCATCACAGTGTGTGACCCAGAACACGTAAGAATATTTTATTATTTATATTTATTTTATATTCGTCGTAAATAATTTGTTAGAAATTAATTCACTGTTGCATCTTTAATGTAATTTATTACAGTTTGAAATACTGCCACATAAACTAGCGCCCCTTAGTGAAGAAAGTATGGATTTTTTTGGCACTTCCAATAGCCATGGACCTGCAACAGCACCTGAAGTACTGGTATTACCCATTGATTTATGTAGTGCCAGTACAAATGAAACATTTTTAAAATGTTTGAATCATTTCAATTTGAAGGCCGAGTAATTTAATTTTATATATTAATAATTTTTTTTCTACTATCTATATTGCAATTCTATACGAGTAACTAAAAATGTTGGTTTTAATTTATTAATATAGATTAATGGATAGCGGATTTTGGGCCACATTAAAGCGGGGTCAAGTTGTGGCCAAATACCTAAGTTCAAAAAAAATAATTTTTTGGTTGTACGGCGAGGAAGACTCATTTTTCACAACTTTGGAAACCCAAATCGTCGAAACCTTGTCATTGGGGCTCGGTTCGTCGATTTGGATATTTCCAAAGTGTGAAATGTTACACTATACTGGGTTTTGTGCATTGCTTAGATCAAAGCTGGCAGACCATGCACAAAACCCAAGTATCAGAGTATGCGACCCGAATATGTAAAAATTTTATATAATTATTATTTTCTAACTTTCACTAATTTATACATTGATTCAGGTCAATACAAACGATGGTGGCAACAAAATGGCCCAGAGGCAGGGCCAATATCCGTTCATCGCCATTATTGCAGAGTACGTCTGCCAGTAATCAAGTCGGCCAAGTACGTGGTCGTGGCGGAATAATGCGTGGTCGTGGAGGGCTAACGCGTGGTCGTGGTGGGTTAATGCGTGGTCGTGGTGGTGAGGTCCATGGACGCAGTGGGCATACTTTCCCACCCTCCACAACAATTTACGCAGAAGCCCTCAGGTCGATTGTGTCAGTTGGTTAGTTTCAATAATAAAATATTTGAAAAAATCAGTTTTATAATGATATTATTAATTAAGAAATAATCTATAATATTCAATAAATATTGTATAAATATTTAAATAGTTCAAATGGCTACGACATCGACGAATCTCCAGGAATCTGCACCAGTACACAATGTTTTTCGGGGACGAGGACGGCCACGGGGACGGCCTAATATATCTTGCCATTCGTGCGGGGCGTTTGGCCATTTGCGGCGGGATTGTCCTAAAAAATGTATGTACCTATATACACAATTAATTTAAAATTATGTATTATTTATTTCCATTTTAAACTTCAATGAACGCTTCGTAATCCACACTGCAGTTTTTTAATGTTATATAACACAAACAATTTTTTTTTTTTAAACCAATAAACGAAAAACGAACAACCTCGCAAAAAAATAAAATATGGTATCAATAAACATGATTTGATAATAATATGTGGAGTTCGGAACTTAATTCACATAAAATGTACTAACTATGCATGCACTTATGCGCTTAAAAAGTATAAATATGCTTTGAAATATGCACTTATTTTCTTTTTAATGAAACATTTTCATAAATACAAATATTTTACTAAATTAAACATTACAAAAATACAAATATTTTAGTAAGATTAACATAATTGTCAAGTATTATAAGAGAAAATAAGTAAATAACTTAAAAAATGTTCTAGAAATAAAATTGATTTTCTTTTAAAATGTTCCAATTAAATTACACATCTTTAAAGCCTACATAAAAATTAGAAAAATTTGGTACCTATTTGAAAATGATGGTGCTTAAAATAATGCCTAATGAGAACTCTCAAAATGAATATATGATTATTATTTTTATTGCACCTTTTTCAAATTTTGTTATCAATTTATCAACAATTATTAAATATGTTCTAAAAAAGGGTGTGACTTTCTGCTGTACAGTAGGCTACAAGTAAGTCCCTGTAAATGAATTGTGTTAAATTTAAATCCAATGATAAAATATCATTGTATAAGGAAAACGATTCTGAGTGAAGACGGTCAGTCAGTCTATGATATTTTACTAAGTGTATTTGATGATATTATTGTGAATAAAATAATTAATTTTAGTAGCAGGCATAAGTATTTACTATGTATTATAGTTGGTTTAATTCATTTTTCCCAAAAAAATTACATTTTAAAATGCCATTGCGTGTGTATAAAATATAACAATAGGTATACTCTAAAAGCTTCATATACCAACAAATAATATTTCTAAATTATAAAAAAAAAAACTAAAATCGTTATTCTTGGTTTAATATATTTTTTATATATTTTGGTTACAGTATGAATTATTTATGAGAATCTTTGTTATAAATTTTCAACCCTTAGTTATAAAAACTGAACATTTTATATTTTTTTAATTACAATGATTGATAATTTTTGAGATTTTGATAAATTGTGTCAAAATTTGAACTTTAAATACTTATAAAAAAAAAATCGTGCTTATGTATTTTCAATATTTCTCAACTGCTATTCTAAATAAAAATAATGCTTGTGCTTTTATTCTATTTTTATAATTTAACCGGGACAATAATAATGAGTACCGTTAACGACGTTTAAAATATGTGTCATAGTTATAGACACATTATAATTTATTTTTGTAATGCCATTTGTAATTTATTTTAATGTGCGATTTAATTTACTATAATCTTACGTTTTGTAAAATGAAACCATATAATATCAATTAGGATATACTAAACGAATTATTATTTCTGTTTTAAACGTCCTAAATTGATGTTCCACGTATTTTCCAACACAGTTTTGTGGTTTTTGAAATATTAGGATAAATTATTCAGTTTTTATTAATTCAACTATAAAAGCGAATTATAGCATATCGGTATTTTCACGTTTTTATATTGCATACATTTATAACTACCTAACTAATAACCAACGAGATAATAGGTAAAATTAATTTAATATTAAAAACGACGACTAATATTAATATATTATACATATAGGTATAAACTTGACACTACATATTCCATCATTAAAATACAAAAATAATGTACCTATTAAAAATACGGAATGTATTTCTATAATTTACTTTGAATTTATGTACTTACAAATTATTCTAATTTATATTATGCAGTAATCATTAAATACGTTTTTCTCAAAAATAAGCTAAGAAACTTATCCTATAAGCTCTTAATATGTCATCAACAATTTCAGATAATAGGAAAATATAATACAACTAAGAAGTTCACAATATAAAAGCAATTATGTGTCTTTACGACTTTACGTAATCCGTAGGCAGGCACTTTACATTTTTACTTTTGAAAATTGAATTAAAATTAAAAACCAAACACTAACACATACACGGGCTTACATAGCGATCCGTTTACAAATTCGCAACTGCAGTAGGTACTAAACGTTCCCAAATCAATACCTAAAAGGCTAAAACATACCAAACATAGATAAGATATTACAACCGATAAGGTGTAAAACCAATAACGCGATTACCTACCAAGTCGGCATAGTGATACTCGTAAGATTGCGACTAATGACTTACGAGCTCCGATAAAACTTTTCGTCTGTGCAAAACCTGACATTTTAGGGTTCAAAATAGGTGTGATGGCGTAAAAAAATATTTAAATATAATTTTAGTTAAGGATGTATAAAAATAAAATTCTTAACCTAAGATTTTAATCTATTTGTTTCTTTTTTCCAGGAATCGCTGAATTTTTTCAATGCAATTACCAATATTTTTTATTAATTTTTAAATTTTTTCAATTATTTACCTACCTACACAAATTTTGTAAAATTAAACCTTTTTTAAATAATTTTTTGGAAACGTGAGAGAAAGCAGAGCTACCTTTCTCACGTTCTCCCCAATATAATTTTACAATTTTTTTTACATATATAATATTTTTATTTTTTTACGTATTACATTTTGAATATTTTATAATAATTATAACTAGACCTACATGGTTTCCAGTTTTACTCTTTCTAATGTCAAAACAAATTTGTAATATAATGCATAAGAAAAACAAATTTATGTATATTTATTATTATTTATAATTGTATTTCGTAGTTGTATGTTATCAGCAATAGCCTATATTATATTATTATTATGTAACAACCGGCTACTATGCCAATTGAGATTAATTGTATTAAAATTATATATACCTACATAAACTTATAACTAAAATCTATATATTTATTTAGAGGTGATACATAAACATAAGTCTTAAATTATAATTTTTTTGTTTTATTTTTAATGTTAATAATAGTTGTTATTTGATGTTAAAAATAAAGAATACACAATTTGTAATTAAATATTGTTTCTAATTTAGAAATTAAGAAGATATACAGCATACATATTTATTGGACTGTGTAAAAGTTATAATTACATATTGTAAATATAAACTTAAGGATTAGTTAGTATTAAAATGTAAACTAATAATTAAACTATTAAAGGCTAAAATATGTTTGTCTAATACTATAAAATGAAGAACAGCTGACTGATAATACAAGCAACCCGTGGAACGGAAAACGCAGTTAGAGTGAAACCGTGGAGTAAAAAATGAAGCACCGCTCCGTTTCCCCAGCCCGCCGGCCGTGTCCCGTCGATTCCTTATAGCGCGACCAATCGCGTACCTTCGCAGTGGCGGCGGTCGGTTTTAAAACGTTTTTCGTTATCACCTCTTTTCCTATCATTTCGCCGATTTTCGGAAAATTAGCTGTTTTTACACGATATCTTTTCGCACTTTTATATACTTAATTCGAAGTAACCGGTGTGCGGTTTATATTCGTGCAATGTCGATCAATAAATACACTCCCGACCGGACTTTTTTGCCGATTTTTTCCTTTTCTCCCTCCGTTTCGTCTATTCGCACAATCGCACCCGTTTGTGTCCGAATCGAGTCTTTTTGAAGCCGTTTATATGCGCTTTTCCCCCAAAATCGGTTCGTTCGCCTCGCAATCGCGCTTGGAAATTACGCCGGCGACCGACCAGCCGTACGCGTATATATACATGTATATACGTGTATAATTTAATTTTTCCTTATGATTTAATAATTATTAACGGAAAACGCTTTTCACACGCCCCGTTAAATATATATATGGGAGATGCGCGTATTACAAGCGAATTATATGCGATTACATCGATGTACATCGAATATATCGGTTTACGTCGCTCCGTAGTCGCACGGCTTAATTGTTGATGTTTTCACTGTCTCTCATATCTCAAACTGTGTCCGAGTAGGTTAGGCGTTAGGCAGGAAACACGTAGGTCCCGGGTTCAAATCCGTAGAACGCCTTCCGGGCATTGAAACCGTTAATGCCATATGGTTTACACGGCCGCCCGAATTTCGACTTTTTTTGCATTTTTTTTTCACGTTATTTTTCATATGAATTAAATAATAATATAATAATACAGGAACATATCGTACATTATTATTATTTAAAGTCATTATCATTTTATATCACACAATAAATAGGTACATATTATATTTGTTTTATTAGGAATTTATTAGGAATTATTATAATTGCATATTTTTTAAAATTTCCATGATTGTTATATAAATATAGTTTGTATTTTATTTCGGTTTGCCTACCTAGGTGGCTAACTTGAAAGTTAATCTTGATTTTGACTTGAGAGTTGAGATGACTGACTTGCTAGACACTCCAACACGGTTTTTGACTTTACACTTTTTACATAAAAAAGGCACCGGACATGCGAAGGCACATACCACTCTATGTGATATACCTACTATATATAGGTGATAGACGGATTGCTCATTTTAGTTTCGTCTTAAACGGTGATGATTGACTTGATAGACACTTTAACAAATAACATGCAGGTTTTTGCAATTTTTTTTTAAATTAATATATATACACTATAGGTACATGTTTATATGTATTGGTTAATATAATAGTATGTATCTAACTACCTACCTATATGTTAATATTTTTTAGGAATTATAATTGCACATTTCTCAAAATGTTCATTGTTATATTATAACACAGAATAAATACATATCATATTTGTTTGTATGTATATAGTTTGAATTTTTCGTAAATAATTTCGTAAGTTGTGTGATAGGGTTTTCACTTATAGCCGCTTGATGTCGTGTCTGCAATCCACCGCAGGTGGATTGCCTACCTGATTTGCTGTGGCACATAGTCCGCGATCCGACGAAGTCGGATTGCCTACCTAAGTGGCTAACTTGAAAGTTAATAGATTTTGACTTGAGATGACTGACTTGCTAGAAACTCCAACACGGTTTTCGACTTTACACTTTTTACATAAGATAAAGCACCGTTCATGCTACGGCACATACCACTCTATGTGCAGCTATACTCTATATAGGTGATCCTGGAGATCGTATCCAGCCTATCCATTTACAACGTTTGTGACGGATTGCTAGACACTCAAACTTTTAACATTACCGCCAAAGCGTCTAGCCTTATCTCCAATCCATATCACTAATCCTTATCACAAATCCTAAACTTTCGTCTTACAACCTTTGCGACTTTTATAATTCATTGTCTCCCAAATCGGTACCCACTCTCAGCGATTCCAACGGGCCCCGAGTTATACTTAGAGCTAGTGTTTATATAAAATAAATAAATTTCATTTTGTAATGCTATTTATGTATTTTAATATTTTTCTATAATTCTATGTACATAATTTAATTGATATTTTAAATTACAATGAATAAATGTATAAAGTTATAGTCTTATAGAATATTGTATATTTGTATCTGTTGAATTATTTTACCATTAAATATGAATTTAAGCATATTAATCAGAAATGGGCAGAGTACCTAATCATCATTGAGTTTATATTTAATTAGGTATATAACTGCATAATACATAGAAACAAATATATTTATTTGCTTTTCATTGAATAATACCGTGTTCTTAACTCTTACGTAGGTACTTTAAATTTTTAAAATAATATTGTATCAATTTAATGTATAATCAAATATAAGGTTAAATTTTCTAATAAATGATCAAGATGTACTCATAAATATCATATCGTTGCAATCTTATTATTTTTCTGGAGCCCTTGTCCCCTGAGTGCCCCCTTCGAAATATACAAATTTTGAAACTGCGTTGGTTGCCCTTTCGATTAAAAATAGTTTTGAAAATATCCTTTTTGGTGATCACACCGAAAAAGCCTTCCAAAATACACCTACCAGCCGATTCGTCCGTAAACTCATAAATATCATACATTTTAAAGCGTATTATTTTTCTGGAGCTCAAGTCCACCGCGTGCCGCACTTGGGTAGTACATATTTTGAATCTATTTTGAATGCCCTTTCCATTAAATATAGTTTTGAAAATATCTTTTTTGGTGATCACACCGAAAAAGCCTTCCAAAATACACCTACCAGCCGATTCGTCCGTAAACTCATAAATATCATACATTTTAAAGCGTATTATTTTTCTGGAGCTCAAGTCCACCGCGTGCCGCACTTGGGTAGTACATATTTTGAATCTATTTTGAATGCCCTTTCGATTAAAAATAGTTTTGAAAATATCTTTTTTGGTGATCACACCGAAAAAGCCTTCCAAAATACACCTCCCAGCCGATTCGTCCGTAAACTCATAAATATCATACATTTTAAAGCGTATTATTTTTCTGGAGCTCAAGTCCACCGCGTGCCGCACTTGGGTAGTACATATTTTGAATCTATTTTGAATGCCCTTTCGATTAAAAATAGTTTTGAAAATATCTTTTTTGGTGATCACACCGAAAAAGCCTTCCAAAATACACCTACCAGCCGATTCGTCCGTAAACTCATAAATATCATACATTTTAAAGCGTATTATTTTTCTGGAGCTCAAGTCCACCGCGTGCCGCACTTGGGTAGTACATATTTTGAATCTATTTTGAATGCCCTTTCCATTAAATATAGTTTTGAAAATATCTTTTTTGGTGATCACACCGAAAAAGCCTTCCAAAATACACCTACCAGCCGATTCGTCCGTAAACTCATAAATATCATACATTTTAAAGCGTATTATTTTTCTGGAGCTCAAGTCCACCGCGTGCCGCACTTGGGTAGTACATATTTTGAATCTATTTTGAATGCCCTTTCGATTAAAAATAGTTTTGAAAATATCTTTTTTGGTGATCACACCGAAAAAGCCTTCCAAAATACACCTCCCAGCCGATTCGTCCGTAAACTCATAAATATCATACATTTTAAAGCGTATTATTTTTCTGGAGCTCAAGTCCACCGCGTGCCGCACTTGGGTAGTACATATTTTGAATCTATTTTGAATGCCCTTTCGATTAAAAATAGTTTTGAAAATATCTTTTTTGGTGATCACACCGAAAAAGCCTTCCAAAATACACCTACCAGCCGATTCGTCCGTAAACTCATAAATATCATACATTTTAAAGCGTATTATTTTTCTGGAGCTCAAGTCCACCGCGTGCCGCACTTGGGTAGTACATATTTTGAATCTATTTTGAATGCCCTTTCGATTAAAAATAGTTTTGAAAATATCTTTTTTGGTGATCACACCGAAAAAGCCTTCCAAAATACACCTCCCAGCCGATTCGTCCGTAAACTCATAAATATCATACATTTTAAAGCGTATTATTTTTCTGGAGCTCAAGTCCACCGCGTGCCGCACTTGGGTAGTACATATTTTGAATCTATTTTGAATGCCCTTTCGATTAAAAATAGTTTTGAAAATATCTTTTTTGGTGATCACACCGAAAAAGCCTTCCAAAATACACCTACCAGCCGATTCGTCCGTAAACTCATAAATATCATACATTTTAAAGCGTATTATTTTTCTGGAGCTCAAGTCCACCGCGTGCCGCACTTGGGTAGTACATATTTTGAATCTATTTTGAATGCCCTTTCCATTAAATATAGTTTTGAAAATATCTTTTTTGGTGATCACACCGAAAAAGCCTTCCAAAATACACCTACCAGCCGATTCGTCCGTAAACTCATAAATATCATACATTTTAAAGCGTATTATTTTTCTGGAGCTCAAGTCCACCGCGTGCCGCACTTGGGTAGTACATATTTTGAATCTATTTTGAATGCCCTTTCGATTAAAAATAGTTTTGAAAATATCTTTTTTGGTGATCACACCGAAAAAGCCTTCCAAAATACACCTACCAGCCGATTCGTCCGTAAACTCATAAATATCATACATTTTAAAGCGTATTATTTTTCTGGAGCTCAAGTCCACCGCGTGCCGCACTTGGGTAGTACATATTTTGAATCTATTTTGAATGCCCTTTCGATTAAAAATAGTTTTGAAAATATCTTTTTTGGTGATCACACCGAAAAAGCCTTCCAAAATACACCTACCAGCCGATTCGTCCGTAAACTCATAAATATCATACATTTTAAAGCGTATTATTTTTCTGGAGCTCAAGTCCACCGCGTGCCGCACTTGGGTAGTACATATTTTGAATCTATTTTGAATGCCCTTTCGATTAAAAATAGTTTTGAAAATATCTTTTTTGGTGATCACACCGAAAAAGCCTTCCAAAATACACCTACCAGCCGATTCGTCCGTAAACTCATAAATATCATACATTTTAAAGCGTATTATTTTTCTGGAGCTCAAGTCCACCGCGTGCCGCACTTGGGTAGTACATATTTTGAATCTATTTTGAATGCCCTTTCGATTAAAAATAGTTTTGAAAATATCTTTTTTGGTGATCACACCGAAAAAGCCTTCCAAAATACACCTACCAGCCGATTCGTCCGTAAACTCATAAATATCATACATTTTAAAGCGTATTATTTTTCTGGAGCTCAAGTCCACCGCGTGCCGCACTTGGGTAGTACATATTTTGAATCTATTTTGAATGCCCTTTCCATTAAAAATAGTTTTGAAAATATCTTTTTTGGTGATCACACCGAAAAAGCCTTCCAAAATACACCTACCAGCCGATTCGTCCGTAAACTCATAAATATCATACATTTTAAAGCGTATTATTTTTCTGGAGCTCAAGTCCACCGCGTGCCGCACTTGGGTAGTACATATTTTGAATCTATTTTGAATGCCCTTTCCATTAAAAATAGTTTTGAAAATATCTTTTTTGGTGATCACACCGAAAAAGCCTTCCAAAATACACCTCCCAGCCGATTCGTCCGTAAACTCATAAATATCATACATTTTAAAGCGTATTATTTTTCTGGAGCTCAAGTCCACCGCGTGCCGCACTTGGGTAGTACATATTTTGAATCTATTTTGAATGCCCTTTCGATTAAAAATAGTTTTGAAAATATCTTTTTTGGTGATCACACCGAAAAAGCCTTCCAAAATACACCTACCAGCCGATTCGTCCGTAAACTCATAAATATCATACATTTTAAAGCGTATTATTTTTCTGGAGCTCAAGTCCACCGCGTGCCGCACTTGGGTAGTACATATTTTGAATCTATTTTGAATGCCCTTTCCATTAAAAATAGTTTTGAAAATATCTTTTTTGGTGATCACACCGAAAAAGCCTTCCAAAATACACCTACCAGCCGATTCGTCCGTAAACTCATAAATATCATACATTTTAAAGCGTATTATTTTTCTGGAGCTCAAGTCCACCGCGTGCCGCACTTGGGTAGTACATATTTTGAATCTATTTTGAATGCCCTTTCGATTAAAAATAGTTTTGAAAATATCTTTTTTGGTGATCACACCGAAAAAGCCTTCCAAAATACACCTCCCAGCCGATTCGTCCGTAAACTCATAAATATCATACATTTTAAAGCGTATTATTTTTCTGGAGCTCAAGTCCACCGCGTGCCGCACTTGGGTAGTACATATTTTGAATCTATTTTGAATGCCCTTTCGATTAAAAATAGTTTTGAAAATATCTTTTTTGGTGATCACACCGAAAAAGCCTTCCAAAATACACCTACCAGCCGATTCGTCCGTAAACTCATAAATATCATACATTTTAAAGCGTATTATTTTTCTGGAGCTCAAGTCCACCGCGTGCCGCACTTGGGTAGTACATATTTTGAATCTATTTTGAATGCCCTTTCCATTAAATATAGTTTTGAAAATATCTTTTTTGGTGATCACACCGAAAAAGCCTTCCAAAATACACCTACCAGCCGATTCGTCCGTAAACTCATAAATATCATACATTTTAAAGCGTATTATTTTTCTGGAGCTCAAGTCCACCGCGTGCCGCACTTGGGTAGTACATATTTTGAATCTATTTTGAATGCCCTTTCGATTAAAAATAGTTTTGAAAATATCTTTTTTGGTGATCACACCGAAAAAGCCTTCCAAAATACACCTACCAGCCGATTCGTCCGTAAACTCATAAATATCATACATTTTAAAGCGTATTATTTTTCTGGAGCTCAAGTCCACCGCGTGCCGCACTTGGGTAGTACATATTTTGAATCTATTTTGAATGCCCTTTCCATTAAAAATAGTTTTGAAAATATCTTTTTTGGTGATCACACCGAAAAAGCCTTCCAAAATACACCTACCAGCCGATTCGTCCGTAAACTCATAAATATCATACATTTTAAAGCGTATTATTTTTCTGGAGCTCAAGTCCACCGCGTGCCGCACTTGGGTAGTACATATTTTGAATCTATTTTGAATGCCCTTTCGATTAAAAATAGTTTTGAAAATATCTTTTTTGGTGATCACACCGAAAAAGCCTTCCAAAATACACCTACCAGCCGATTCGTCCGTAAACTCATAAATATCATACATTTTAAAGCGTATTATTTTTCTGGAGCTCAAGTCCACCGCGTGCCGCACTTGGGTAGTACATATTTTGAATCTATTTTGAATGCCCTTTCCATTAAAAATAGTTTTGAAAATATCTTTTTTGGTGATCACACCGAAAAAGCCTTCCAAAATACACCTACCAGCCGATTCGTCCGTAAACTCATAAATATCATACATTTTAAAGCGTATTATTTTTCTGGAGCTCAAGTCCACCGCGTGCCGCACTTGGGTAGTACATATTTTGAATCTATTTTGAATGCCCTTTCCATTAAAAATAGTTTTGAAAATATCTTTTTTGGTGATCACACCGAAAAAGCCTTCCAAAATACACCTCCCAGCCGATTCGTCCGTAAACTCATAAATATCATACATTTTAAAGCGTATTATTTTTCTGGAGCTCAAGTCCACCGCGTGCCGCACTTGGGTAGTACATATTTTGAATCTATTTTGAATGCCCTTTCCATTAAAAATAGTTTTGAAAATATCTTTTTTGGTGATCACACCGAAAAAGCCTTCCAAAATACACCTACCAGCCGATTCGTCCGTAAACTCATAAATATCATACATTTTAAAGCGTATTATTTTTCTGGAGCTCAAGTCCACCGCGTGCCGCACTTGGGTAGTACATATTTTGAATCTATTTTGAATGCCCTTTCGATTAAAAATAGTTTTGAAAATATCTTTTTTGGTGATCACACCGAAAAAGCCTTCCAAAATACACCTCCCAGCCGATTCGTCCGTAAACTCATAAATATCATACATTTTAAAGCGTATTATTTTTCTGGAGCTCAAGTCCACCGCGTGCCGCACTTGGGTAGTACATATTTTGAATCTATTTTGAATGCCCTTTCGATTAAAAATAGTTTTGAAAATATCTTTTTTGGTGATCACACCGAAAAAGCCTTCCAAAATACACCTACCAGCCGATTCGTCCGTAAACTCATAAATATCATACATTTTAAAGCGTATTATTTTTCTGGAGCTCAAGTCCACCGCGTGCCGCACTTGGGTAGTACATATTTTGAATCTATTTTGAATGCCCTTTCCATTAAATATAGTTTTGAAAATATCTTTTTTGGTGATCACACCGAAAAAGCCTTCCAAAATACACCTACCAGCCGATTCGTCCGTAAACTCATAAATATCATACATTTTAAAGCGTATTATTTTTCTGGAGCTCAAGTCCACCGCGTGCCGCACTTGGGTAGTACATATTTTGAATCTATTTTGAATGCCCTTTCGATTAAAAATAGTTTTGAAAATATCTTTTTTGGTGATCACACCGAAAAAGCCTTCCAAAATACACCTCCCAGCCGATTCGTCCGTAAACTCATAAATATCATACATTTTAAAGCGTATTATTTTTCTGGAGCTCAAGTCCACCGCGTGCCGCACTTGGGTAGTACATATTTTGAATCTATTTTGAATGCCCTTTCGATTAAAAATAGTTTTGAAAATATCTTTTTTGGTGATCACACCGAAAAAGCCTTCCAAAATACACCTACCAGCCGATTCGTCCGTAAACTCATAAATATCATACATTTTAAAGCGTATTATTTTTCTGGAGCTCAAGTCCACCGCGTGCCGCACTTGGGTAGTACATATTTTGAATCTATTTTGAATGCCCTTTCGATTAAAAATAGTTTTGAAAATATCTTTTTTGGTGATCACACCGAAAAAGCCTTCCAAAATACACCTCCCAGCCGATTCGTCCGTAAACTCATAAATATCATACATTTTAAAGCGTATTATTTTTCTGGAGCTCAAGTCCACCGCGTGCCGCACTTGGGTAGTACATATTTTGAATCTATTTTGAATGCCCTTTCGATTAAAAATAGTTTTGAAAATATCTTTTTTGGTGATCACACCGAAAAAGCCTTCCAAAATACACCTACCAGCCGATTCGTCCGTAAACTCATAAATATCATACATTTTAAAGCGTATTATTTTTCTGGAGCTCAAGTCCACCGCGTGCCGCACTTGGGTAGTACATATTTTGAATCTATTTTGAATGCCCTTTCCATTAAAAATAGTTTTGAAAATATCTTTTTTGGTGATCACACCGAAAAAGCCTTCCAAAATACACCTACCAGCCGATTCGTCCGTAAACTCATAAATATCATACATTTTAAAGCGTATTATTTTTCTGGAGCTCAAGTCCACCGCGTGCCGCACTTGGGTAGTACATATTTTGAATCTATTTTGAATGCCCTTTCGATTAAAAATAGTTTTGAAAATATCTTTTTTGGTGATCACACCGAAAAAGCCTTCCAAAATACACCTCCCAGCCGATTCGTCCGTAAACTCATAAATATCATACATTTTAAAGCGTATTATTTTTCTGGAGCTCAAGTCCACCGCGTGCCGCACTTGGGTAGTACATATTTTGAATCTATTTTGAATGCCCTTTCGATTAAAAATAGTTTTGAAAATATCTTTTTTGGTGATCACACCGAAAAAGCCTTCCAAAATACACCTACCAGCCGATTCGTCCGTAAACTCATAAATATCATACATTTTAAAGCGTATTATTTTTCTGGAGCTCAAGTCCACCGCGTGCCGCACTTGGGTAGTACATATTTTGAATCTATTTTGAATGCCCTTTCGATTAAAAATAGTTTTGAAAATATCTTTTTTGGTGATCACACCGAAAAAGCCTTCCAAAATACACCTACCAGCCGATTCGTCCGTAAACTCATAAATATCATACATTTTAAAGCGTATTATTTTTCTGGAGCTCAAGTCCACCGCGTGCCGCACTTGGGTAGTACATATTTTGAATCTATTTTGAATGCCCTTTCGATTAAAAATAGTTTTGAAAATATCTTTTTTGGTGATCACACCGAAAAAGCCTTCCAAAATACACCTACCAGCCGATTCGTCCGTAAACTCATAAATATCATACATTTTAAAGCGTATTATTTTTCTGGAGCTCAAGTCCACCGCGTGCCGCACTTGGGTAGTACATATTTTGAATCTATTTTGAATGCCCTTTCGATTAAAAATAGTTTTGAAAATATCTTTTTTGGTGATCACACCGAAAAAGCCTTCCAAAATACACCTACCAGCCGATTCGTCCGTAAACTCATAAATATCATACATTTTAAAGCGTATTATTTTTCTGGAGCTCAAGTCCACCGCGTGCCGCACTTGGGTAGTACATATTTTGAATCTATTTTGAATGCCCTTTCGATTAAAAATAGTTTTGAAAATATCTTTTTTGGTGATCACACCGAAAAAGCCTTCCAAAATACACCTACCAGCCGATTCGTCCGTAAACTCATAAATATCATACATTTTAAAGCGTATTATTTTTCTGGAGCTCAAGTCCACCGCGTGCCGCACTTGGGTAGTACATATTTTGAATCTATTTTGAATGCCCTTTCGATTAAAAATAGTTTTGAAAATATCTTTTTTGGTGATCACACCGAAAAAGCCTTCCAAAATACACCTACCAGCCGATTCGTCCGTAAACTCATAAATATCATACATTTTAAAGCGTATTATTTTTCTGGAGCTCAAGTCCACCGCGTGCCGCACTTGGGTAGTACATATTTTGAATCTATTTTGAATGCCCTTTCCATTAAAAATAGTTTTGAAAATATCTTTTTTGGTGATCACACCGAAAAAGCCTTCCAAAATACACCTACCAGCCGATTCGTCCGTAAACTCATAAATATCATACATTTTAAAGCGTATTATTTTTCTGGAGCTCAAGTCCACCGCGTGCCGCACTTGGGTAGTACATATTTTGAATCTATTTTGAATGCCCTTTCGATTAAAAATAGTTTTGAAAATATCTTTTTTGGTGATCACACCGAAAAAGCCTTCCAAAATACACCTACCAGCCGATTCGTCCGTAAACTCATAAATATCATACATTTTAAAGCGTATTATTTTTCTGGAGCTCAAGTCCACCGCGTGCCGCACTTGGGTAGTACATATTTTGAATCTATTTTGAATGCCCTTTCCATTAAAAATAGTTTTGAAAATATCTTTTTTGGTGATCACACCGAAAAAGCCTTCCAAAATACACCTACCAGCCGATTCGTCCGTAAACTCATAAATATCATACATTTTAAAGCGTATTATTTTTCTGGAGCTCAAGTCCACCGCGTGCCGCACTTGGGTAGTACATATTTTGAATCTATTTTGAATGCCCTTTCCATTAAAAATAGTTTTGAAAATATCTTTTTTGGTGATCACACCGAAAAAGCCTTCCAAAATACACCTCCCAGCCGATTCGTCCGTAAACTCATAAATATCATACATTTTAAAGCGTATTATTTTTCTGGAGCTCAAGTCCACCGCGTGCCGCACTTGGGTAGTACATATTTTGAATCTATTTTGAATGCCCTTTCGATTAAAAATAGTTTTGAAAATATCTTTTTTGGTGATCACACCGAAAAAGCCTTCCAAAATACACCTACCAGCCGATTCGTCCGTAAACTCATAAATATCATACATTTTAAAGCGTATTATTTTTCTGGAGCTCAAGTCCACCGCGTGCCGCACTTGGGTAGTACATATTTTGAATCTATTTTGAATGCCCTTTCCATTAAAAATAGTTTTGAAAATATCTTTTTTGGTGATCACACCGAAAAAGCCTTCCAAAATACACCTACCAGCCGATTCGTCCGTAAACTCATAAATATCATACATTTTAAAGCGTATTATTTTTCTGGAGCTCAAGTCCACCGCGTGCCGCACTTGGGTAGTACATATTTTGAATCTATTTTGAATGCCCTTTCGATTAAAAATAGTTTTGAAAATATCTTTTTTGGTGATCACACCGAAAAAGCCTTCCAAAATACACCTACTAGCCGATTCGTCCGTAAACTCATAAATATCATACATTTTAAAGCGTATTATTTTTCTGGAGCTCAAGTCCACCGCGTGCCGCACTTGGGTAGTACATATTTTGAATCTATTTTGAATGCCCTTTCGATTAAAAATAGTTTTGAAAATATCTTTTTTGGTGATCACACCGAAAAAGCCTTCCAAAATACACCTCCCAGCCGATTCGTCCGTAAACTCATAAATATCATACATTTTAAAGCGTATTATTTTTCTGGAGCTCAAGTCCACCGCGTGCCGCACTTGGGTAGTACATATTTTGAATCTATTTTGAATGCCCTTTCGATTAAAAATAGTTTTGAAAATATCTTTTTTGGTGATCACACCGAAAAAGCCTTCCAAAATACACCTCCCAGCCGATTCGTCCGTAAACTCATAAATATCATACATTTTAAAGCGTATTATTTTTCTGGAGCTCAAGTCCACCGCGTGCCGCACTTGGGTAGTACATATTTTGAATCTATTTTGAATGCCCTTTCCATTAAAAATAGTTTTGAAAATATCTTTTTTGGTGATCACACCGAAAAAGCCTTCCAAAATACACCTCCCAGCCGATTCGTCCGTAAACTCATAAATATCATACATTTTAAAGCGTATTATTTTTCTGGAGCTCAAGTCCACCGCGTGCCGCACTTGGGTAGTACATATTTTGAATCTATTTTGAATGCCCTTTCGATTAAAAATAGTTTTGAAAATATCTTTTTTGGTGATCACACCGAAAAAGCCTTCCAAAATACACCTCCCAGCCGCGTGGCATATACATTTTAATCAACTATACGTTTATATCATATTATTTTTCTGTTTCCCAAGTCCGCCGAGTGCCTCCTTCGAATTATACAAATTTTGAATCTGCGTTGGTTGCCCTTTCAATTAAAAATGGTTTGACAACTCGCAATTTGGGTGTTCATTTCGAAAATTCTGTTCTAAGTATACCACGTGGCAGCTTTGCCTGTATGTCATGAAAGTCGTATAATATGTATATACTTTTATTTTTCTAGAGGCCGCTTCTAAGTCCCCTGATTGCCCTATCCAAAAACTACAAATTTCAAATATATGCTGAATGTCTTTTCGCCTTAAAATGGTCTGGAAAACATACATTTTTGTGTTCGTTTTGAAAAAGCCATCCTATTAGACCATCTTCGCAGCCGCATTTCACTTAAATCGCAAAAATCGTTTGGTTGATATCTTTTTATAATCCTGGAATTTAAGTCTACCGTGGCCCTCTTGGAAAACTACAGATTCCGAATTTTTATTTGATGCCCTCTCAATTAAATATAGTTCGGTGTACATACATTTTGTTTTTCATGCTGAGTCGTCCCTCCAAAATGTTCTTTATAGTAGAATCATCCTTGTGTCTACTAAATTATGTGGGGTGTTAAATTGGATTTGTTTTAACTTTTAATAACTAAGGAGGATTGTTATTTGTAATGTTCATTAACAGGGTAGTGAACAACTAATGATATATCCCCTTTTTTATGTGTACTGGGACATACAATTGTATTCAAAAATATTTGTTTTCAAGTTATTCCAAGAATACTAAATGTTATTTTAGATTCTGAGCGGAGCAAGGAAGCTAGTGGTTTTACAATGGTGTTTTTTTTTTTTTTTTAAATTTTTTTTTTTTATATCCTTTATACAAAATGTCTACCAGAAGGAGTGCTTTGATTTCAACATATAGTACCTTATCTTTTAGCAAATTGGACCAAGATGGTACTTTAGAGAGGTCATTTTTCGATTTTCTCAATAGTTATTTAATGCCACGGGAAAAAGTACTGAAAAATTACGAAAAACCGCTTAAAATGGGATTTTAATTTCTAACAATTTATTTGTTTATCACCGTAGCAACGAATAAAAAAAATAATAATTAAATAAATAAAATAATTAATGACAATATAAAATATACAGACTGACAAACCGTCTCCGTTCAGAATCGTTTTTCTTATACAATGATATTAATATATTATATCCAGTGGTTGAATTGGGGGGGACGCGGGGGGACGGAGTCCAACTTCTATTTTTAAAATATTTTAGCGTACCCCTTCTAATTTCAAGAATTGATAAGACATTTAAATGTTGGGGGGACGCACAAATGTTTTATACTTTTGCATACCCCTTCTATTTTTTTTCCAATTCAAGCACTGATTATATCATTGAATTCAAGTTTAATACAATCCATTAAACAATGACCAACTTGTAACCTACTGTACAGCTGAGCGACATCCACTTACCTGCCTTTTTTTTATTAACATAAATAATATATTTTGACATTTTTTAAAAGCTATTTGTAAAAGTTTTATAATTATTAATTTATGATCATTATGCGAGGTCTTTAACACATAAATATATATAATCTAGTTAATATTGTTATTCATTGTATGATTAAATTTTTAAGCTCGTTCCCCACTGTTGACCCTGTAGTTTTATCAAAATGTTAAATTAGTTTTGAATAATATTATAGACCGTTGGTGGGTTATTGTCGGATAATATAAATTTTTTCCTTAAAGCTGATTTGATTTGACTGTTTGGAATGCACCTGTAGAAGATCTTAATACTATTTGTAATAATTGTAGGTTTAGGGTTTTCTATTCTCATTTTGGTACAATATTTTTCAATATTTTATTCATCTTGTTGTTATTGCACTCTATTGATGCCTAAATGTTACATTATAAGATGTATATCACTTGCAATTGATTTTTTTTTTGTTTTCATGAATACTTTGTACTATGATATAATCGTATACATTTACTCAAATTAGATTTATTTACTCAAAATAGTAAAAACAATAACTGTTTATGAAATCAAATATTTGCAAAAAAAAATTTTAATTATTATCAATTTTTATGGAATTATATTCATACTAGGTAGTTCAGAATTTTCTTTGTTTTATTAATTGCATTAATATAGTATGACATATCACTTATTAATATTTAATAATATTATAATCTTAATAATTATAATAATTATCATTCATCCATCTTGAATTAGGTATATCTGAAAAATAAATATTTTTGTTAAGACTCCTAGTAAGATATGAATAGGCAATATAGTATACAGGAATACGGTTACCTACCTTATCAGAATTGATAAGTGCTAAACGTCCGGGAGCTAACTTCACAGACATTCAATATCTAAGAGGATAATGGAATATGGATATCTATTATCTTGTTTAAATACCGATAACTGGAATGAAAACATTGGTAAATTGAAGTTTGGGGTGGGGAATGTACCTTGATAAGTATTTTTTGATCCTCCGACCAATACAAAACAGCCAAATAACTATCAACTGATAGCAAAATGTTGATAGTGAAAGGAATAGAAAATGTTATAGGTACCTACTCAAATTATTCCTGTTTAGGCGATATTACTATAATTAACAATTGCGTTGTTTTTAAAAACTCATACATTTTCATAATATTGTAATTTGTAACCCTTCAATATACTCGTATACCAGCAGTATTGCAGTAAGTGTATTTATAGTTAGGCTACAGTTTGTAATTGATTTACATTGCGTTTATTATGGAATTTAATACCTAATTGATTTTTGCAAGGTGCCAAAATATGATGGACATTGGTCTTACAGATCCTTGGATCACACTAACCATTAAAGCTCCAAACCAACAAATCAATGACCACACAATAAAATGTAAACTGGATTGGTCTGTAGCAAAACTCAAAGGGTACATTCATGAAACTTATCCAAACAAACCAGTAAGTGTTTTATTTAATTCTGTTGCTAATTAAGTTGAAGTCGAAGTAAAACTATTTTAGTTCTCTAAAAAAAATCTGTTTTACTTTTTTACTAGAAAACAGAAGACCAAAGGTTAATATATTCTGGTCAACTCTTAACTGACGGTGTTATTCTAAAAGATGTTTTGAGACCATATGACGATGATGGACAACTCAATCGTACTGTTCATTTAGTTTGTTCATCTTCATCTTGTTGTATCCCACTTAAAGGTAAATCATTTCTTTTTTTTAAACTAATTTATATTTATTTATATAATAATATTATATTGTTATCTTAATAAATTTAGATGATATTTTTAAATTAGGTACAATAATGTTAATATTCATTCTCTAACTTATTTATTTATTTTTTATGGTTTTATATACTAATTAACTTGGCTAACAGTACTACAAACATACTAAAATATAACACAACATTAATATAAATTAGTAGATTTAAATTATTTTTATAAATATTCAAAAAATGTATGTTGTAGAGTTAAACTAATTTAATTTAAAATGTTCCTACTAAATACAGTATTCTATCCTACTTTTATGTCAGCCGTTAGGTTTCTTTTATTATTTAATAATTTCTGATGACTTTATTTTTTGTTATTTATTATTCATAGAAAAACTTAAAAGTGAGGAAATTGTGAAAGAAATCAATGGTAAAAGCCCTAAATTGAATGAAGTTAACTATGGTGCTAGTACTTCTGGAATTAGTACCTCTGCTGCAGATACTAATCAAGAAGTTAGTACGTCTTCAAACAATAAACAAGATACTAAACCCACCAAAAATCAAACCAAATCTAAAAATAATGTTAACCGCAGTCCATTGACACCAGAACAACTAGCTCTTGAGCAAATACTGTGGGTGAATAAAATGTATGCTGTTCAAATGGCAGAATATTGGCAATCGTAAGTATTTCAATTTTGACCAATTAATAATTAATTCAATTTTGACCAATTAATAATTAATAATTTTTCTGATTAACTAAATGTTGTGTTTTATAGAGTTGCATCAAGTTTAGGTGCTCCTATACAATTAAATACTCCAACTGTCAAAAATGAATCTCCCCCTCCAGATGTACCAATTAATAATAGTAATAAACATTTATAAAAATAAATTAAAATTTGCAAAACTGTATGCTTGATAATTATTTGATACTTACTTTAATATTAGATAACAACAATCAACCAGCAGACCAAAACATTCCTGCTAATAACCCAAATATAAACATACAAGATGCTGGGCCCAATCAAGATTGGTTAGATTGGTTATATGTATCCAGTAGAGTATTTATTTTCATAAGCGTTATCTATTTCTATTCATCACCTGGCCGTTTTCTTGTTGTTGCTGGCTTTGCACTAATATTATATTTGTAAGTTCAAAATGTGTTTTAAATTGTAAATCAAGTTTTTATTTTGAATAATACCGATCTAATATATTTATGTTGGATTATTTGAATGTTAAATTGACCATATAAAAATAATAAAAATACCATCATCTTATAGTTTTCTTAATCATTTGTAGGTACCAAAGTGGAATTTTGAGACACCTTCATGAGCATAATAGAAGGAGGTTTCAACTTGAACAACAAGAACAGCACGTTGATGACAACAGGAATTTGTCACAAGAGCAGAATGGAAATAATGAAGACACAACAGTAAGACAAAATGAACGTTTAATAACTACGTTATGGACAGTTGTTAGTACATTTTTTACTTCTCTCATACCACAACAACCGGATATAATATAAGTATTAAATAAACCATATGTAAAAAAATAACATATTAAATAAATATGTATATTTATTATTGTATTAATAATGATATAATCATATTCTTTATTCTGTTGTATTGTTAAGTTTCATTATAATTTATAATTAAGTTAAGCTTATCATTGTATTTGGGGTATTTATACAATAATACTTTATTACTATGTAATATGTATTATATTATATAGGAACACATCATGTTTTTCCATAAATAAAAAGTAAGTAGCACTTAGATTTGTCTGTAATTTATTCACATAATTTACACTATTTCATAAGCAAAATTAAAGGTTACACATAAATATATTTTAACTATTACTCAAAATGTATGTTAGTGGATATTTTGTATTGATTATCTATACATTTTAGAATGCTTTTATGCTATTATAATATAAATTATATTTAGTAATCATAAAATAAATAAAATTTAACATTTATATTACCAATATAATACAATTTATAAGACTAAATATTATGTTGCATTATTTTTGAAATATGTATTAAATTTATTGCAACTTATAAATAACATTTCTACATTTATTAATCATAGATAATTGTTATCTTTTCACAAAAATAGACTAATTCATTAACAATTGATATTATTAACAAAAACAATTAAATTGTTCCACTATTTCTTTCACCAATTTAATGATATGGTTATTGGTTATTCCTTTACAGTTTATACTTTATATACCTGTAGAACCTGATATGAACTTGATATGCGTGTGCTCACAGTTTTACGCACAGTCAATCAACCTTATAACCGTACTCTCAGACTTATATTTTAATCAAGTTAAGAACCAAACTTGGTGGCGAACAATTTTTGTCGGGCGGCAGTTCAGACAAACCCGGTTTGTTGCTTGTAAGAAAGCAACATCCCAGACTACGGTTCTTAATTTGAATAAAATGCAGACGATGTTATTTACCAATTAAAACTATTAGGGTCAAAAATTTAGGATGAACAGAATATACAATATATATATATATATATAGTGTAGTAGTAAAACAGTAGTATAGTACTAGTGGCTATTTATGTTTTTGCGAAATGTTTGTAGCTAAATTATACTTAATTTCTAAATCTCGTTGAGTTCTTGGCAAATTTGTCAATCTGTATCTATTTTCAATGTGTATAAGGTCTTTTTAAGGTTTAAAATTACCTCAAACTAGTCACTGAAATCATGAGCAGGTAACACTGTAGCTAGTATTTTTATGATAAGACATTTAAGTGGGTTACATAATATTATTTTCTAATGCATTTTTTGGTTGTTCAGCTCTACCAACTTTTTGTCCATGTCGTTAATTTTCCAATTACTGACATACTTGGATTACTTGCATTCAAATTGATATCAATAGTTTTGATGCATGAGTGCATGACAGTAAGCTACCATAAAAAGTCACAATACCTACCAACCACAAAACTTCTATAGGCTATTTTCATAGAAAAAAAATGGGAGTGGGAGTGGTTTAAACCCTTAAAATCCTCCTGGCTAGTGGCTACACCATTGTACATTGTTATATGTATTATGTAGTACTTAACCAAAATATAAAATACAAGATATTGTCTGATGAAATAAAATTGTATTAATAAAAAATCCATACAAAACACTATTAGATCTTAACATATAAAATTGATAAGCTAATGAGAAATGTTATATAAAATTAATATTCTACACTCATCTGATCGTCTTTATGAATAATTTCTAATGATGGATAAGAAACAACAAATCTTTGGGATACAACCATCATTATGGTATATTGATTAAAATCGTCTTCAAATAAAACTTCATATCCGTCATAACTTGTTTTAGGAGGAGCTTTTACTAGAGCTTTGAAGAAACAAGTAGTTTGTGGATACATTGCTAAAACTATACAACAATAATTATAGTATTCATGAATTATGTGAATATTGAAATATATAATATTATTAAGCAATAAATCAACATAATTTTTTGGAAACCTTCAACTTTGAATATATTTCGACTATATTCATCAATTCAGTTTAAGATGGTCCATCCAAAAATTTAAGAAATGTATTGCTACAATAGTTAAAGTATACTAACCAAATTGATTGCAGGGAAAAAACGCATCTGGACAAGTGACTGGATCAGCTCTCATTAGTGGTAGTGGCTTTACGTATATTTTTTCTAATGTGAAATTACGGTTAGTTTCTTTTACATCAATATCTTCCACTTCATATCTTCCATTTTTAAATGCAACTGCTTCTGCCACAATCCATCGCTCTTCTCCAGATTGTTTAACAAGCGCCGCCACCAAATCCCCACTCTATAACTTACTTTAGCTATACAAATGTTTTCTAACAACATACTTTACATACTTTTGCAACATATGAAGGCAGTGGCTCAATAGCACCACACAATGGAGGTGGTTGTTCATCATGCTTTGGAAGCCACACTGGCATCCGCGTTGCTGTTACTTGTAATAATTTAAGGAATGTCGAACTTCTTTGAGACTGCAGAAGTGACTAGATGTACAATTAACCTTTTAAAACTGTTTTAATTTTGATATTATCAATTATCATGTACCCACTTTGATATTTTGATGACGAATGTTTCGTATTTCATGTATTTTTTCCAAAATACTTCTAATTATTTCTTCTTCTCTAGCAGTTTCTATATCAGCTGATTCATAGAAACTGATTAAAGACTTCTATACATAGAACAAAACAATTAAATAATTTAACAATTTTTTAATGAAAAATTTGTAATAATTCTTTTACGACTTACTTGCGACTCAGGATCAATCATGCCTTTTTTAATAACTTGTTCTTGTGTAGTATTAATTATATCAATCACAGCCTCAGTGGATGACACCGTTTGAGGTAGATTAAATATCATCTTGAATAATTTTTTTAAAATGGTCTAAAAATAAATAAATGTTCAAATATTATTCAAGTGTACACTAATGCAGTTGAAAAATGCATCTAAAGTAAATTATAACACATGATGTATTAAAATGTTACATTGTTTTAGTTGTATTGATTTTTATTCCTATTATTTAGATTTTAAAATTGATCATCATGCCAGAGTATGATTGGGCACATAAAAATATATATTCTATACTCTGGTCCAAATAAGAGAGCACCGCTTTGGTGTCTTTTACGTCTAACCTCGTACTACTAAACCGTTAAAATGGTGTGACAATTCACTCATTGTGTATAAACAAGGTGATCAACTGCCGCCGGAACAGACAGTGAAAGAAAACTCTACCTTTTCGTTTCGACCGGTTTTCGTCAGCCGCCCGGTGCGTTCTTATTTGGACCAGAATATATACAAATATATAAAGTTAAGTACTGAAGAGTTTGTTTGTTTGTGTGAACGCTCTATTCTCTAGAACTACTGGTTGGAATTGAAAAACTATTATTGAGTAGTATAGTCCATTTATCGAGAAAGGCCGTATATGCTATAATATAATCTATACTAATATTATAAATCTAAAGAGTTTGTTTGATGAACACGCTAATCTCAGGAACTACTGGTTCGAATTGAAAAATAATTTTTTGTTGGATAGTTAATTTATTGAGGAAGGCCATAAGCTATATAACATAACGCTACAACCAATAGAAGCCCGGGGAGGTGCTCAAACAGGGATTATGAGATTTACGATGGAAATGTTGGTTTATAAATGGTTGCTTTTGGTTATAGGAGAAATAATTAATAGAAATATTAATTGTTTATTATTGGTTAATAGGGGAGATCAGGTACAAGCATGCATCAAATCTAATTTTCGGACATTGCCTACCAGGGTGGTTCAGTTGCACTTACTGCAGCGATTTATTTACACCCAAAAGGAGTTGAACAATCACAATTTTTTAAGAATTATCATTTTTATAGGCCACAAAGATATTACCTGTTCATCTGAATTTTCTTTACCAGCAACAGTTGTATCAATTAGTGATTTTGTCATTGCCATACTTTGTTTCTGAAATTATTTTTTTATTATAATTATTATTTATAACTACTGTAACTAAGTTTATTATATTTTAAAACAATTTAAATTTACAAGACGTATATCATTATATTTAATATTGTAATCATGGTGAACGGTTTTTGGAATTGAAAAAAATTTCTTGAAGAACCCTCCGGACCAGGGATGGCAAATAAGTGGCATGTGAGAAATTTCCGATGGCACACTAAAGACATTCATGCATCTTTATGCCAAAAATATTCGTGCCTCAGGAGTCAGGATTGTATTTATATTACGTAAAAGTGAATCATTTTTGACAAATCTATTATTATTTATAATTGTAAATCAGCAATTTAGCATAATATTAATTATAAAATGATAATATCATTTTTTTTTTTATTGAAAGTATACAGGACAAAAAAGCGTCTTACAGTTAAATAGATAATATATAGGTTTGGTAAACTAATATGAATTCGATCTAAACATTTAAATTCAATTTTTCAAACTGAAACAGTACTTACCACACAATATTATAAATTAATGGTTTAATTAATTCCACTGTTTTGAAAATTATAATGGTAGGCTTAAAGTACAAACGGGTGCAACTTATATTTTAGTCATGGGTGGGCGTTTGTCTTATTAAAAATATGACAATATTGACAAAATGTATTATAGTATTTTGTTGTTACTCCATAGATGATAGAACAATAGAACCAATTTGAACATAAGGAAAAGGATCTTTATCAAATATTGAATATTGATAACGATAAGTAAACAATCCGTGGGGTTTACCGGGTACCACTTAGATCATACACAATGTATACATATTACATGTAATAATATGATCTAAGGGGTACCACGATGTAGAGAAGATCTTCTATACATCGTGCCGGGTACGGGTCGCTACCTTTTATTCCACAAAACATTTGTACCTACAAGTACCAGTGTTGCCAGGTTTAGAAAGAGTGGTAATCGTACAGTGTCTTCAAAATTATAGTATTCACTATGTATAGACACGCTTGGACACTGGACAGGGCATCGGGCATTTCGGTCCCCGAGAAAAAGCCAAATTTATCCCATGTATAACATTATACGTACCGCGAAGAAATAACCCCTTATGAGATTTTGCAAATTAATCTAAATAATGGCAGTGGTATGTTATTGCGTATATAGTAAAATGTATAAAATTCCTTATAGCCTATAGGGCACATATCACATATAGGCATTGTTCTATACTTCTGTGATATAATTATATATGCACAATAATTGTAATGTCCCCACAAATAATGTCAAAAACTTTCCTAGATAAAAAACATTTAATTAAAATTGATCTTCCATGCCATCTTTCATTCGTCCATGCAAAAATTAAGATGCAAATTAAAACACAAGCTAAAATATCAAAATCTAAGGCTGCACAGTGCACAGTTATTTTCAGAAGCTGTAATGGGTCTTTCAGAAAGTAGTCTTGAAGGTTGAAGAACTTCTCAAACAAAAATCAATGAAAAAAAAACCATCCAAAATCAAGGAACTCGGAGTTTTCCAAAAGTACCTGATAAACTAAAAGATTTGAAAATGGAAGGTATGTATTGTATTCACTTTTAATCAAATTAAAAACAATGCTAAACTTACACTTGCGTGTTGAGCGTCACCAGTGAGGTGTAAACATGTTCTGGTGCACAAGTAAAAATAAAAGTTGGAATATTCCAACATTACTGGCGAGCTGACGCTCAGATGATGGCGCCATAACAAACATGCACGTGTAAACCCACCTTAAAGAAAAACATGAATTTTTACGCAAAACCAATTTTTGACAAAATCGATTTTGTTTTTTTGTAGTAACACAAAAACGAATAACAGTAGACACTTTAAATTTTCAAAAAATGTTTATATTACCAATTCCCATATGAGATAAAACTTTCATGCTAAAAACATAGGTAGGTTCAATGTTCCATAAATTATTGTAATGTTTATAATATAATTATATAAATCTAATATTATCTTATCTTAAGCGCTCTACTGGCGTTTGGCGCATTTATATTTTATCTATTTCAATAAGATATCTGATATCCCTATAGTTATTAATAAGGATACCTGTACATAATACATGTAATAGTTAACTATATTTAATATTTATAAATATATTGGTGGCCATAAGCGCAATTAGGGGGTCTAAGCCCCCCCCCTCAAAAAAAAACACTGTAATGCCCCCTCAAAATAAATTATTCAATTCTTTCCTAAAATATTAACAAATCTATAGAAATTAAACTGCATTTCTTATTTTTTTTTTTTGGAAAAAAATGTTATTATTTCATTTTAGATTCTGAGCGGAGCGATGAATGTATTGGTTTTACAATGATGTATGTTTTTATATTTTTTTATTTTTATATTTTTTTATATTTTTTTGTGTCTGTCATCACGTTTTAGGACAGTAAAAGTGCTTGGATTTTCTTCATCAGTAGCTTTTCTGATAGGAAAGTGAATCTAGTTGGTACTTTGGGGGGTCAAAAGTAAAAATTTCCCAGTAGTTTTCACAAGCGCCGGGAAAAACAACATAAAAATTAAGGAAAAACGGGAATTTTTACGCAAAATTGGTTTTCCAAAAAATCGATTTTGGTTATTGGTGTAACTCTAAAACAAATGAACGTATATACATGAAATTTTCACTGGTTGTTTATATTTGCATTTTCTATACACGATAACATTTTCAAAATATTTTGATTTATTTTGAACTTTTTATTTATTTTGGACATTTTCATTTTCCATTTTTTTTTAGTTTTATTTCTAAAAATATCAATAAAATTTTATTTGTTGGTTGCAAAAGCTTGAAAATTTAATAGAAGGCTCCTAATATATTGTTTCAAAGGCAGATGAAAAATATTAAAAATCCTTAGTCACAATTTTTTTTTATAAGCATTTAAAGTAATTAAATTATTAATGGAGTAGTCTATAGAGTAGATTGAAGGTGTGGAAACATCACTGTTTTCACAGTTATTGTTATTGGCGAGAACGAAAAATTTGGATTTTTTATCGTTCCGATTAGGTGACAGAGACGAATTCGACAAATGACGTTTTGAGGTGATGCGTGGACTTAGTAAATTTACACTAATTGGTTGAGTGTTTTTAATCGTTGACATTGTTATTTGGAATCGACCGATAGTATACACTAATGAGCGCACTGCGGCGATAACGGAGGGAGATAATACAAAGTACGTGTGTTCATGTTGAACGTTAGAGCCCAACTGGTATCTACCTATATTAAGTAAAACTTGTAAAATTATAATAATAATCTACTTCTAATAATAGTTATTATTATAACATAATATTTTATTTCGGGGAAATATTATAATACTATATATAATATATATAAGGTGCTCTGCTGTACAGTAGGTTACAAGTGGGTCACTGTATAATGGATGGTATTAAATTTGAATTCAATGATATAATATCATTGTATAAGAAAAACGATTCTGAGTGGAGACGGTATAGTCAGTCTAGGTATAAGGCATATTATATACTTATCTATGGTATTAAAAAAAATTGACCTATTATAGGTAGGTACCTATAATAAATTCCAAATTAATCATAACACAATATCCATTAGATATTTATATACTTTTTTTTTTTTTTTATTAGCTTTCAGTTATTACAACTATAATAGCTCGACAATTATTATTATTTTTTTTTTTATATACATGATAGGTATAACATAATATATAAATATAAGTGTTGCATTAATTTTAAGGAGGAGGTATAGGAAAAGAAGATGGGAGTAAGTGATTGACCACTGTAGTTAGTAGAAGTAATAAGGGGTTAATTATGGCTTTAAGGTCCTCGAGAAATTTGGAGATCAGGCTTTCGGGCGTAGCTGTTGAAGGTGTAGTGTTGACAGTATGATTGGCAGTACGCCAGTACCATTGGCATGTGAACGATTTTGTTTCTGGTTGAAGCTCGAGATACATTTGTTTAAAGACAGAATAGTGTCATTGAGATCCGGATGACGATAAGGTTTGTGTGATTTAGATTTTCTGCGATTTTCACTAAGTTTTTTAAACACTGGACAACCTTTGGCCCCCAACATAGGGCTCACTTGGCGGGTACTGACGGTGCTTTGGTGCAATCTGAAGTGTAATGGTTACATTAGATACTTATAACGCGTTATACATCAACAACAAATCCTGATACTATCATAGATATATAATAGTGTACTTTAGAAATTTCAAGTACCCACGAATAATATTTTACAATCACAACTAAAGAACTAAAATAGTTATTCTAGGTTTCTTTTATGTAATTTCATCCAAATTTGAACTTAAAATGTCTATAAAAATAAACTGTGGGTATGTATTTTTTAGATTTTTTGGTAACAGAATTAACTACTTACGTGGAATCTTGTTTTAAATTTTCAATCCTTAAATATAAAAGTTCAACATTTTATAAATTTTTAACTACAAAATAATTATTCAATTTTAAATTTGATAAATTTTGTCAAAATTCGATCTTTAAATGCTTATAAAAAAAAAAATTGTGCCTATGTATTTTTAATATTTTTCAACTGACATTGTAACATTATTTCAGGAGACTTGTATTAAATTTTTACATTTTTTGGCCCAACCGATAAAACTTTATTGATATTTATAGAAAAAAAAAACTAAAATAATTGAAAACTGAAAATGTCCGTTAACAGCTCAAAAAGAGTCAAAATATTTTCAAAATTATATGGTGTATAGGAAATGCTAATTTAAACATTCAGTAAAATTTTCATGTATCTACAGTTATTCGTTTTTGAACTACAACAAAATATAAGGAAATCGCTACATGAGAAATCGAGTGAATATCCAATGTTGTAAAAATTTGAATTTCAAACGCTCATAAAATTTTAATTTGACTTTCTTATAAACATTTATTTCTTGATAAAGGTAGATAATCTTATAAGGAATCTTGTATCACATTTTAAAACCTTAGATTTAAAAAGAAAATTTTTTACGAATTCTTAACTCAAAATAATTTGCTAATTTTAGTGATTTTTCCATATTTGGTCAATTTTTGGACTATAAATGCTTATAAAAAAAACTGTGACTAAGGATTTTTAATATTTTTCATTTGCTTTTATACTAGAAGCCTTCTATTAAATGTTCAAGCTTTTTTAACCAATTAATAAATTTTTATTGATAGTCATAAAAAAAAAAAACTAATAAAATTGGAAACTGAAAATGTCCCTAAACAGTTCAAAATAAATCAAAATATTTTGAAAATGTTATCGTGTATAGAAAATGCAAATATAAACAGCCAGTGAAAATTTCACTTATCTAAGGTCATTTGTTTTAGAGTTACACCAAAAACCAAAATCGATTTTCTCGAAAACAGATTTCGTGTAAAAATTCACGTTTTTCCTTAATTTTTCTTTTGTTTTTCTCTGCGCTTTTAAAAGTACTATGAAATTTTCACTTACGACCCCCCAAAGTACCAACTACATTCACTTTCCTATCAGAAAAGATACTGTTGAAGAAAATCCAAGCACTTTTACTGTCCTAAAAGGTGATGACAGACACAAAAAAAAAATATAAAAAAATTTTTAAAAAAAACACACATCATTGAAAAATCAATACATTCATCGTTCCACTCGAAATCTAAAATAAGGTATAATTAAATACTAGAGTAAATAAATAATCAGTCTTGTAAAAAATACTCTTGAAAAAGTATTAAAATACTAATACTAGTATTCGCATAAAAAAGTATTAAAAATACTTTTAAAATACTTACATAAAAATGTATTTTACGAATACTCACAAAGTATTTGAATACAAATACAAGTATTTTTTTAAATTTTACACCTTATAGTAGCTGTTTCCAAACATGTTTATTAATAAACATGAAATAACTTACAAATTAGGCTAACAATGTAGTACATACTGCTCATATTAGGTATTATCAATATATAATATAGTATCATAATATATTTATACCTAATATATACTTATAATTTATCAATATAATAATATATAATTTAGCATAATTATATATTTATGGTTAATATAATTTAACATTCGTATAAATCAAATATTATACATTTATACAAATATGAATAAAAATTAAATTTCTTTTCAGAAAAAAAAACTAACTGTAATAATGAAATAATCTTTATATTTTTATTAAAATTTGTTTCACAATATTCAATAAAAAATTTTATTTGAACAAAAAAAAATTAAAATCTGTTATTATTTAGAATTTAGATAATTTTAGAATTACTTTTCAATAACATGGTTTTTTCAAAATTAGAATCACTCATCTTCCCTCTTTTTTTGTTAAAATACAGGCTCCTATACTAAACACCCTTTCAATAGGTTCACTTGAGGGAAGGAAGTATTATACTTTACGAAAACCTTTTTTAAAATTGGAGTATAATTTAATACGTTGATTTTTTTAGTTGGACTCTTGTTGAGAAAGTCAGCAATTTCATTTTCAACTAATACATTCCGACTTTTTTTTGTTGAGGCCCACGAATATTAATAGTAATTATATTCTGTTCAAACTAATAAAATATGTATCTGGTATAATACTATAGTTATACATGGTCTGTTCTCTATACTATATTATTATTACTTTTTTTCTAATAAAAATTTATTTACACTAAGTTTATAGTATTTAAATACAAGTATTTACATTTCATTAAAAATACTTTTAAAAAGTATTCAGAATACTTAAAAAATACTTCAAAAAGTATTTTAATACAAGTATTCAAATACTTGTATTCGAATACTTTACAAGACTGTAAATAATTGATTTTGTTTGTATGATTTTTTATATTTTAAAGTGAAAATATATGGCGGTGTGCGGGGCATCACCCCCACGTGTTACTTTTCATGTAATGTCAGGTGGGGGCTATAGCCCCCCCCCAACATTTCAGCCCTAGTTTCGCCACTGTTGGTGGCACCTCGGAACTTTTAACTTAATTAATTAATTATTGACACACTAAATCGTATGATTGAGTGCTTACGACCACACTTAGTGTCTCGTAATAGAATATAACCATCATAATATAATATATATTCGTAATATTGTATTGCAGGAGAATGAAGTGGGAATTTTTTTTACACATTATTATTGAAATTTCAAACAAACATATATTATTTATTGTGCATTTTTAAAAATGTATTATTGATATTTATTAACAAATTTACTGTGACTGAAAAAATTGACTATTTGTTTTATATTTATAAATTATTGTAATTTTATTACAAATGTATTATTATTAGGCAAGTTTAAATCATTTTTACTTTAGGGTTATTTTTTTCCGTGGGTTTTTTTTTAACTGGGTTATTTTTTCAGGGGTTTTTTTTTCGAGGACTAATTTTCTGGGGTTATTTATTAGATAAATCGTATAAAATAAAATCAGTCGATTATACACTGTAAAAGTATAAACTGTATTTTATTTTATATTGTACAATATAATAATATAATTATTAAGTTGATATTTTGGCGATAAGTAAATAAATAATATGTTGTTTGTAATATGGGTGACCACACGTGTGTTTAGTGACGAATCTTCACCCCACATACACGTGTTTTTCAACCAACCGTAAACTCCTTCAAAATGCTAGTGGCCATAATTGCCGATATTTAGGTTCAATAAAAAAACTGGTGCGTGTAGATTCCCTACGCGTGGATGAATATTGAATAGTGAAACTTAATACAGTAATACAAATTACAATAATAGTACGGTAATACAGTAGTAATAATAATAATAATAATAAGATAAGTACGGCATAATAATAATATTATACACTGAGTCACTGAGAGACCGGCCGGGTTAAAGTCCGCGCAGCGGATTAAGATATTATAATGGAGTATGTACTATGTACTATGTACTATCCAGGGCCGAATCTTGAACTCTGAGGGCCCTGGTGCAAAAGAAAATTTAGGGAGGCTCCCTTGAAAAACAATTCACAGTATCATACCATGATATTTTTACTACAAATCGAATTGCATTATAAATTTATAACCATATTTTAACATATAGATATATTAGGTAATATGATATTTAAGAGTAATCCTAAATAATTAATAATTTATTTAACATCATTATTACATAAATAGCTAAGATATTCTATTATAAGAAATATAATTTATAAAGCAAAATATTGTCAATAATTTTCTCAATATTCAGATTTTTAGTTCGTTCTTTTTTTAAATTTGAAATTGCTATACTAGATGAACGCACTCGTCCACATGCGTTTCTTAAGTATTTTTTTATTAGTTTTAGTTAGGAAAATGATTTTTCTGCTCCAGTGATTGCTGTCATTATAATTTATATAAGAAAAATAATGCAAGCTCTTAAAACGTCACTTAGGTATATATCATTCGAAAACCATTTCGACGTGTCGTCGAAGTACCTACCTAGTATTACGAAAAAACAATGTGGTGTTCATACAACAACAATAACAAAAACTATAAGGTGAAGTGGGGTAAGTGCCTAACTGGGGTAAGTGCGTTTTCCAGTATTATGGTGGGAAAAATAAATTCTATCACTCATATCAATAATGAAAATTAATCTACAATATAGTGGGAGCTTAAATATCTAATTTGCAACACTGTACGTTTATTCGTTTGCGTGCTATCAGAGTTGATATCAACAATTGTAATATCACTCGCGTTTTGAAAAGTAGACTTGTTATCAATTATTTTTTTTGGCAATTCAAATTTATTTGGGAAGCTTCTAAATAAGCTAAGTTGTGTAATTTTATGTGTAGCTTAGGTTTTTAGTGATATTTACGTGTTTGATTATACAATTATATTCGCTAATTCGGATTATGCTCTTCCCCCGTGTAAAATGACCAACGGGGTAAATGCGACATTCATTTATGTGTAAGTGCGACATGACATGCCGCAGTTGCCCCTTTTAAAAATTAATATTAATTATTTTATTTACTTGAGCTAAACATTGTTTTTTTCTAATACAATG